CTTTCCCCAGTCTGCTGAGTTATGTTTCATCCTGGTGGCCTGAGGGTTGACTGCTGGATGTGGGACCGGTTCACTTGCTGGCCAGAAATGTTAATTTTGACACAGATCTTTTCAATCCTGAATCATTCTTTTTTTTTTTTTTTTTCCCTGATGTGAGATTGAAAAATAGAGAGGTTTGCTCTTGAGTATAGTTCACAGTGTTTGGAAGAAAATGCTAGCTTTTATCAGTCAGACTTCCAGGAGAGACAGCAGGCAACTGTTATCCGGCAATGGGCCAGGCAGACGTGTGGGGACCTCAGTTTGTGTTTCCACAGGCAAGAGTCTTCCCACCACAGAGGCACTAAAGGACTAGGACTTTCAGCGTTGAACCTGAGTGCAGCTATTACCTCTCGTGCAAAGAAAAAGGATTCTCGTCTTCACAGGCTTTGCCATGTCTAACCACAGGTAGAGGTCGAATTTTTGACAGTGAACAACTGCTGAGCTGTATTTTTAGGTTTTTTAGATTTCTGTATCTCTTCTGTTTTCCATCACAGCACAGTTATGGTTTGTAGGACTGTCAGAGGAGTACCACGCAAATTCCTGGGCACATGGTGTCATTTTATGCTCCCTCCTGTTTTGTTCCTTCTATCCACTTTAAACCAGCAGGAGGGAAGGTGGGAGAAATACAACATTTTATTTTATTGTCTCCAAGTGTTTAAGGCATGACAGACATAACTTTTTTTATTTAAATGGTTGCTCTTTGCTAACACAACACAAGCAAACACAGAAAGTAACACAAGAGCTTTCCGCAGCTTGCTGCAGAGCACGAGGGCAGCCGCTCGGGAGCGGAGGCTGAGAGAGGTGCCTGGGGAAAACTTGTCCGTGCTTTCCTTCAGATGGAGAAGACATAACGGTGCCTGGAAAAAAGAGAGTGTCATTACTAGTCTTTTTATGTCATAGTTATTGCTATAGTTAGCACATGGCGGTTCCGTCAAGCAGAGGTCTGCCGAAAGACGAGGCTGATGGAGAGCGACGACGGGCAGCACGGCACAGGGAGCTGCGCTGTTGGGAGCGGCAGCCCCCGAGGAGCCGCGATGGAGGGGGCAGAGCAGGGCACTGTTTTGACAATGCCATGCAAAAGTTCAGTGTGTGACAGAGACCCGAAGGAATGCACGGGTATAAAACACTTTCTCAGAGCATTTAAAGCTGTGGTGGGGCAGAAGGGTTGTTTGTAGGGTTGTGGTTTGCACCACCCCAGTGACCCTCCTGGCCAAGGAGAGGACTTGCTGAGCAGGAGGAGTGCTTTTAATGCCATGGTTACACTAATTGCTCTCCCTATGGGAAATGTCAGTGCCATAATGTGGGTACCATGGATGTACAAAGTCTCATGTCCTCTGAACAGACATCATGGAGAGTGCTCAATGAGTTAGGACAGATATTTAAGCTCTTCCCAAAGCATTTCCCCTCCAGCATCCTTTGCTTTTTACATAACCCTGTGGTTTGCTCAGAGCAGTGACCATGCCTGCCTTGGCACAGAGCAGAGCTACGTGACGGTGCTCCTTTGAACAGAAATACAACTCCAGAGTCCGTCCTCATTCCTACACAGCAGCAGCCTCTTGCAGAAAGGCTTCTGTTTGCCAAGGGA